TGTAAACCGAGCTAGGGCCATCACCTGGTATATGTTTGAGGCAGCCGCATCCTTATTTCCTTAGCCAATGTGGAATTGAGTTTCCAATTTTGCTCTGAAATCCCTGGAAGTTAACATCAGGAGTTCCTCGTTTTGACCACAAAACAAAACAAAGCTTCCTTTTAAAGAAACTCTTAAAAAAATGGAACATTTTTGGCAGTGTCTAGTCGTATACCCAGGACCACAAATCGCATCGACACAGCGGGCGGAAAACGACACGTGAAATATTGGAGCGCACTTCTGGGGTGCGGGCCAAATATGTCTGACCAAGGATGTTTTCCTAAAGGTCATGATATCTGAAACGGAAAAGAAGTCAGAAATTGCATATATATATATATATATATATATATATATATATATATGTTCATATGTGTATGTGCATAAACATAAATGTGGGTATATAAACATTTATATATACACATATATATATATATATATATATATACACCAGGAAGAGAAGGAGAAATTTAGCTGACAAAGAGACGACGAGATCGCCCTGTAATTTCGCCGTCGCTGGCGAGCCACACCGACGGATGCAGGTCCGTCACAACAGCGACGACAGCCCAGCAGCTGGCCCACCATCGAAGGGAGAGACACGCGACTGCTGAATTAGGTTTTGCGATGCTTGCTAGTCTTAGAATGGGGTTTGTCCCTGAGCGAAGCCCCATCAGTTCGACCTTGAGTGCCACCACAGTACCTGATTTCCCATTCGTCGGATGCTGGTAACGTCTTTCGAGGCTGGACATCAGTGAAGGGCAGTGGCATTGCAAACATCTATAAGCTCAGGGTTTTTGTTGTCTGGGTAAGCTCACTATTTGTCAGGATGTGTCTTGTCAGAAAATCAACGTCATGCATTTGCCCGGGTCACCGTACATTTAATTCGGCATTGGCTAGAGTCAGGTTGGCCTGGTGAGGCCGCATGTATCAGCGACCATGCAATATTTTGTTTTTATTAATTAGAGTATTGCGATTGGTAATGCCTTGCTGAGCTAAGCGTGGATGGCTTGCGAGTGTGTAAGTTTTGATATATTTGATAATTAAAATATTTGGTTGTGATATATACCTCAAGACAAATTACAGACTTCGAGGCGCTCCTTTTTTTGATATATGTTGTTCCACACGCCGCTTCTGGCGCCGCTCCAGGCATGCCCCAACGTAAAGTTATTGGTTGCGCGGATGGTCCACGATTAGAAACAAGCACTGCGTTGCTCAAAAATGTGTTGATCATCTACTGAAGTCGGTCGGCGACGATGGGATATAGAACCGGGCTTCTTCGTACGAGGATTACCTGGAAGCATACGGAGCTGGGGACTTTGACTTTTGTGTCACGCTGTGCTTGAACTGCTCACAGTAGCCTGTAGCGTAACCTCGGCGCTGCGAATTAGCGAGAATTGCAACATATGCGAACTCAAGCCTTGCCGCCCAGTTTGGTGCCTGGTTTTGCCAATTGGACCTGTGACATATCTTGGTCCGTCATTTCGTTCGTCCCAATTTGTGAATATGTGTGCCAGTAGACGCTCGTTCAGTTGCATCCTCATATCGCGTGGCGAAGTAGCCTGTCAACATTTTCAGCTCCAACTGCCGGCTTAGACACCACTTCTGTGGACGATATTGGTCGCAGTTTCTTCACATCTCTGCTGCTGAGACCCGTCCGAGATGACGCTCGACGCCTGATGCCGCTAATCCTGTGTGCAGCTTACACCAGGTTATATTAATGAAGGCTGCAACGCTGGCGAGGGTGATATGCATGCTTAAAGCCTGCTGGTGCGCACGGTAACAGCGAAGCGGACCGCTATCTTAATCTTCTGAATCTGCAACAACCAAAAGTTCTCTACCTTCTCGTGTAGCAGCCTAAGATCCCGGCTTCAGTGAGGTCTGTTCTGCTCAGCCGACTCAGCACGCGAGGGATGGCTGCCGTCTGCTGGGGCTAATGATGCTCACCGTTGGACCCACGGCGGGTGACAGTAACAACTGGCCACCTGACCTGGGTCTCTGAAACAGGCTGACGCGGCCGATGCCGACGCCGCAGAGCAGACAGAGTCCCCAGCCAGCCTGGCGTCCGCAGCTGCCCTTACACGCGATGCCAAGCAGCCGCGGCAGCGCCAGCGCTCCCCAACAGCAATCCCCTCGCGTCGCGGCACATGGCTCTGCCCCGCGCTTCGGCTCGCCGTGCGCGAGCCGCGCCCGCCTCTGCTAATGCGACGCCCACGCAGTCCAAAGTCGGTCGCACCCGTCGCCGGTGGCCGGCTATTGTATGCCGGGCGGCGACTGGCTGCCGTCTGTTTGACAGCGGTTCCGGTCTGAATTTCCGCGCGGGTTTCCGCCGGATATTCACCGTCGGCTGCGGCCGACATCAAAGAGAGCCGACCGGAGAACGTCCGCCCTGCACGACCTGAATATTGCAGCTCGACGGCCCATGCATTTTAGAAGGCTCGCGGCGAAGGCCGTGCAAGAATGCGGATTGCGGATTTATCGTGACGCTCTCCGTGTGCTACGGCTGCAGTTATCTCAATCACAGGCGGGTGGGAATTCCGAAATTCCGGCAGGTCTATTCTGATGGCAAAATTCTCGGATTTTGTTAGTTGAAGCCCTTCAGTCTCGGTTAAATGAGTCATAGCGTCACAAATAAACATACTGAATAGGTGCTTACGAGTTAAAAAATAGTGCTAATATTTCAGCGTTTATCTATGTGACAAGCGGGCACACCCTGTCCTAACGTTGTTTTGTAACACGGCAGAAGCTCAGACCGAAGCTCCGAGGCAAACGGAGGGCTCAGGATTTGGGCAAAGCCAGTGCTTCTGGATAGCCACCGGCGTAGGCTGCACTTGATTAACACACGCACGGCTGCGTCCATATGTAAGGCCCTGCTAAACTAAGCTCTCTAGAACACGCGATGTTATCCTCCCTGCACGAATAGGTCGCGAGGTTAAGCTACAAATGACCCTCCCCGAAGCAGCGTTCCATAGACCTCTCGCCCTCCTCACAGGCACACACACACACACACACACACACACACACACACACACACACACACACACACACACACACACACACACACACACACACACACACACACACACACACACACGCGCGCGCGCGCGCGCGCGCACGCACGCACGCACGCACGCACGCACGCACGCACGCACGCACGCACGCACGCACACACACACACCAAGCTAACCAAACGCAGCCTCAGACCAAGCGCAATCAAGTCGATTGCATTGCGGAGGAGTTAGTTGCCAGAGCTGAGTTAGTTGCCAGAGCTGAGGGCCACACCGAATCAATGCTGAAGCGGGAGTTTTGGAACGCCGTTGAAGCCGCTCCCGACGGTCAGAATGGTCAGATTTGTTTATCAGATCGTGGCCCGGAAATGAAGCGGGAGCTAACACACACACTGATGGCGACGTGGGCCCGCGGAAAATAAACCAGCGATGGGTATATTCTGTGCGTGGTGGCACACTGCGGCGTCTGTTGGGTATTAAAGCGAGACAAGCCTTATCAAAATAAAGCGATGGCACGGATTATTGGTCATGCATACAGCGACTCTCAGAGTGGCGACTTTCATCGCAGATATCGCGATAGGGCCGGCGAAGGACAGGCACGTTGCTTGGAACACAGATTCTTCGTCCACTTTTCTACAATGCATTATAACAAATACATGCAGATAATATAACAACATAAATAAAAGCATTAACATGGACAAAACAATTTTAACATGACCATATTTATGTATGTTATATATATATATATATATATATATATATATATATATATATATATAGATGTATCCATGCTTGCTCAATATCAAACACCTGCTGCGTTTTGCTGTATGTGTCTGTTCACTTTTAGTTCTAATTCGCCACACATCAATGAACCACAAGGCTTTCATCTCCGCGGCTCGCTCTCCGGCAACGCGTGGCCAGGTATCGCTATCAGTATATCACTGGTATCTATGATGTATCGTTTAGCCTGTTATTCAGCTGCAGCTGCGTGCTGAGGTGTCAGTCTTCATCATCTGCAAAATGGGTTTCGGCCAGACAGCTATTAAATCGAGCTTGACGTGACAAACTTGCTAATATTCGGTGTTGGAACTCCATGAAGAATGCATACAGCTCGGGATTGCATGGGCAGCCCGAGAATATATCGCGCTGTGGATCCATCAATGTTCACAACGCGTTCCACGATCGGCACTATTTGAGAACTGCTCGTGTTCACATCCTTTCGTTTTTGTTTCAATGACATGTTGTGTTCATGTATTTAAAAGATATCTGAATATTGGAGTTATATATTTGCATAACTGCAGCGTCCGTTTCCACTTTACCCCAAAAGTTTAAGCTCATTGACAAAGCTCACACCTGCCAACTTGACCCAATCAACCCGAACACATCCATCAAGCATTATTCCCACGTATACGTGCATACACCAGCCAAACAGCTGTTCTGGAAGATCTGTCGCCATTGCCTCGGGTCGGAGAAATCTCCCCAAGTGCTGGAAACGCTGGAAGGTCTGGCGCCATCGCCTCGGGTTGGGGATGTCTCCCCAAGTGCTGGAAGCGCTGGAAGGTGTGTCGCCATCGCCTCGGGTCGGGGATATCTCCCCAAGTGCTGGAAGCGCTGGAGAGTCTACCGCCATCATCTCGGGTCAGAGATGTCTCCCAAGCGCTGCAAGCGCTTGGCCGACACGTGGCCCACTGCGAGGCGACCCGGGGATGTGCGGGACCTTCAGTGGGCACGACTACCCGCCACGAGACTCTCGCTGTGCAACTGGAACGTGGAATGCAAACTGGACCATCGCGCTTCTCAACCTGCGCAGCGTTTCGGGCCACCATGAGGTGAATCCTAACCGCTGGGCGACCGTCACACTCGGAAAAGAGCATGTCACGAGCGTTATACATGTGCACCTATTATAAACTCGGGTGAGTGTGTGAATCACGCTGGTCACGTTCTCGCCGTTGTTTGCAGGTGTCGTGGATCCGACATCGGGACCTGGCCATTCTGAGCGCCGGTCAGCAGACGTACGCCCATGACAGCCGGATGACCCTCTACCACCAGGTCAGTGTCAACGTGAGGAGTCGGCGGCGGCGTCAGATTCAAAATCAGCGTCACTGTCAGACTCAAAATCAGCGTCAGTGTCAGACTCAAAATCAGCGTCAGGGTCAGACTCAAAATCAGCGTCAGTGTCAGACTCAAAATTAGCGTCAGTGTCAGACTCAAAATCAGCGTCGGTGTTAGACTCAAAATCAGCGTCAGTGTCAGATTCAAAATCAGCGTCAGTGTCAGACTCAAAATCAGTGTCAGTGTCAGACTTAAAATGAATATCAGTATCAGACTCAAAATAAGTGTCAGTGTCAGACTCAAATTCAGATCCAGAGGCAAGCTTGGTGTCAGAAGCAGTATCAGTGTCAGACTCAAATTCAGATCCAGAGGCAAGCTTGGTGTCAGAAGCAGTATCAGTGTCAAAGCAGTGTCAGTGTCAGTGCTAAAGCAGTGTCAGTGTAAAGCAGTGTTGAATTGGCAGACGTGAGCCCAGTGCAGCGTGAGTGTGTCTTTTCTACAGGCAACGTCTCAAGGCTAGTGTGCCAGGGGGACGGGTGCTACCGCCAGGCCGTTGTTGCTCTGGCCCTGCAGTAACTAGGGGTCCTACAGCGACTGGGGCCACTAGAGTGACTGTGCTGCGAGCGGTGTGCAAGCTTTACTGCGTTGGACTGCAGGTCTGTCGTCTGGGCATGCGCAGAAGCATTACGAAATGCCAACACCGCCTAAACCGAAGACCACAACAATGGCTCAAACTTTTACGGATTCATCCTGATTTCCTTGCAAACTTAATCATTTCAATTCTCCTAATCCAATACCGGCTAAAGCATGCAGCCAACTTGAGATAAAACTCATCTATTACGTTGCCAGCCGGTGTGCCCTTCAATTCACGCCAGGTGGCGTGCTGACATCAAGAACTATTGAACTTGTACAACTCGCTCAGAGCTCCGTTTCGTCCAGCCCCGGCCACCCTCAGTCGACCAATCAGCGATTGGGGAGGGTCGGCATCGACATCAAAGGCGGCGCCGGGCGCCGTGCGTGCTCGTGTCAGAGGTGATAGCCGCTCGAATAGCACTCGCGTGACCTCGCGCTGCCGGCGGCGGCATGCACGGCTCGAGTGAGGATGGCACCGATCGCTCGTTGCCAGCGGGCCGGGCTATACCATGGATTTCGCCGCCGCTTCCTGGGCGGCGCATGATGTCATACTGCTACTGAAGCTCTCAATATTTCAGAAACAGTCGTCAAGTTCACAAGAAATGTCCAGTAATGTTTGTCATAAATGCGTAGCAGACCAAAACAAGGATGGTGTCTGCGCATTTCATGTTGTGCTGGTGTGCACAACGTGCACAACATTTCACGTTGTGCTGGTGTGCACAACGTGCACAACATTTCATGTTGTGCTGGTGTGCACAACGTGCACAACATTTCATGTTGTGCTGGTGTGCACAACGTGCACAACATTTCATGTTGTGCTGGTGTGCACAACGTGCACAACATTTCATATTGTGCCGGTGTGCACAACGTGCACAACATTTCATGTTGTGCTGGTGTGCCCGTCTGCATTCGCTCCAAGGAAGGCAGGACCACGGCAACAAATGACTGACGAAGACAGTCTTATGGAGTGCAAAAACCGTCGAGAGTTGTCATAATCAGACATTTATGCCTTCTCACGGCTTGTAAAGAATACAAGCACCGCAGTTCAAGCTCGCAAAGGATGCTTTACGTCATATATTTGGAAAATGGCGGCCGGAAAGCCATGGATCGCGCCCCTAATTTCGTTTATTCGCTCTTTTTCGTTGATGCTGTTCGGTAGGAACCAATTCATACGCCTGAAAATGACAAAGCGATGGGCTGGAAGGAGCATGTATGGAGCATATTTGGACGCAAATGCAATGAACACAGAACTTATCGCTTTCAATCCTTCATCATTGGATCTCGCATTCGCACTCACTTTGCGCTAAGGCATAGAACGACCTTGGACCTGGTCGACGGTCTTTAAGATGGACGATGCAAATGACAAGTGCGAAATTCAACAACTTCATGGCATAAATACACTATGAAACACCACAGTTCGTCGTTCGTTCCGAACACCGAAGTCAGGAAATCAAAAACGTCGAAATGCGGTAGGCTGGGCCCGTTCAAAAGCTCGATCCTTTCCACATCACATTTGAAGGGCGATATTCTCACTGGTTGGGCCGACGCTGCCACGGCTCGTCATCTTTCGGAGTGGAAAGGGTAACGTCGCGCCCTGAGGATCGATTTTGGGAATATATGCACGATCCACATCCGTGTCGTTCTCGCGGATGGCAAAATGGGTCGTCACGGCCGCCATTCCAACAGAGCGCAAAGCCGCACCCCGGTGATGTGGTGTCCCCGAAATGGGAATTTGGGAGATGATCTGACCCGAAGTTGTGCTTGTCATAGGAATGCTAAGAAAACCATGAACTTTATCACTCAAATGTTGCAGGGAAAACCATAGGGTGGCGGCTTTGTGGCAGATATTTTACCAATGTTGACCAAAAACTGCGTGGCACCAATGCTTCCAACGGGGAAACCTAACGTTAACAGCAAGAATGCATATAGAAGTACAATCCCTCATGTCATTACCGTCAATTAGTAAGCTTCTTATGGCAGCGATTGTCATATTTTCGTGTTCTTCTGTTAAAAAATCGCTGCGCATCCCCTCAGCCCACCATTCATGAACCAAAACAAATATAACTACGGTTTCCCATTTAAAACATAAATTGTTTAATGACGTAGCGCGCACACACAATGAGACGTGGAGATTAGTGCTTCATGATATAAAAAGTTGGTAACACTTTCATTTCATGGTATAATAAATCATTCTTCTAAGCGTCGTTTTTATTTCCCAGGAATGTCAACACAGCTTTCACAGACATATGGCTGGGAACAAACCAAAATAACGTGCCCAGTACTTCGAGCTCAATTTCTGATGCATGCAAAGGGCTGGCTGTATCCATTTATCAAAGACCACTGGATTTTGTGACGAACGTGGGAGCAGTCATATTTCACTTGCATGCCACCAGGAATTCGTTTCATCTTGAATGGAGAGACGGCTCAGCAATGGAGCAGACTTTGCTCTGAAGTTGATAAATGGCCTGGTTATCCAAGAACAACATCATCATCGTTAAAGCTGATGATGCCTCGCAAATATATCTAAGTGCCTAGACGTGCGCCACATTTGCATCGGTTGTGTGCTGTGGTAAATGAATAGCATGGCGCAGGCTGGCGACGCGATGCATAGCAACACATCGTTCAGTGCATGCTTTTGTGTTTTACCGACGTTCCCTTCAGCTTTTTGTTTCTCCCTCTCTTTATCTCCCATAATTTTCCTTGCTTCAGTTACATTGATAATTACTCGAAAGAACTTGATCCATACTGGTAGAATATAGACCTGTCTCTTCACGAGTTTGCCTGGTGATCAGATCACAAATTGATCCTGTCATGGCTTCAGTTGGTGCGTGATTAATAAACCCATTTTTCACTGAGCTGATGTTATCACACCAAACTAACCCATAGCGGAACTTCATTGCTACGGCTCACAAAATGCGAGGGAAGCTGCTCGCTGCTTGAGAGCATGCACTCCATGGATAAGTTATCAACCCGTTATTAAATGTACATGATGAACGCATGGCAAACAGTTATCATTCAGGTGTGTCAGAGGTTCCATACTCGCGATTTTATTAACAGCTAGCACATATCAGCGTCTGGTCGCTATCTTGTGTGCATCAAGCCGCTCAGTGTCCGTCGCCATGCGTGCTGCGCGTTCGACGCGTTGTAATTTTGTCTCTGCGTGCGCTTCTATTGGACTTTCCCAAAGTCTCGCCTTCTATCTGACGCTCGGCGTGCCCGGGCTGTTCTAGAGACCTGACCACTATGACAACATCTGATGCAATAATGCACCTCGCTGCGCCAATTCTCGCCCCTATTTCCAGTCGTATTTCCAATCAATCTTCCCAGCCCATTTCGTGTCCTAATTCATGGTAGCCCGGGTTGAATAAGAAGGGGCGTTCACCGTGGCGAAACATTTTTCTCTTTAAAATCACTGTGGAAAAGGGAAGGCATGATTATTTTGGCTCAGTTTTTTTCTGCAAAATGACCGCAAACTCCGTGCTGAAGTAAAGAACATTAGGACGGTTGGGTTTTTTGGGGGGGAAGGGCGAGACAATCCCAAAATATAGAGAGCTCCACCATGAGCCCTTAGATCTTTCTTGAGTAAGGAACCTCTGGGTGTGCAGAGAGGAACCGCCATTTGTTGAGATGGGTTTCTAAATAAAACTCAAGTTTTGCATGTGCATTTGTTTATAAAAATATTTTGCACCAAGTAACATCGTTAGTAATCCATGACGAGGTCAGATGCCCCCTTCAAGAAAAAAGTGGAACACCCATAATGATCACTGAGGCCTGGAGCCGCTTAGTCGATTGCCGCATACCACTCTCTGTAGGCTTCTATAGCTCACAGCCCTATCTCTATCCATGTAGCGTATCAGCCATTCGCCTTTCAAATGACTCTCGGTGCCTCTAACACTTTTATTGAGAAAAATATCATTTTACTGGCACAGGAGCGCCTCATGACAAAATGTTTTCAAGGAAAATTGTTTCACTGGTTCCAACAACACATTTTTGACGCTTAGAAGGGAGACTGATGACCTCATAGAGTGCAGGGATGTAAACAGGCAACGTGATGGTTTCTTCCTGATTGGATCGGAATACCATAGTCACCAGCCGTCTGCTCGGTCGTCGGAGCTGGCTGGCTGGTCGAATGGAGCCTTGAACTAATTAAATAAAAAATAGAAATAAAAGTATCATATTCAGCTTAAGTTCAAGGAAGATGTTATCAGGCACCATGCGAGGCTCATCATGTCACATTAGTTGATATGATGCATGTGCAAAGATGACTTCACACCACAGGCGCTTAGTCCAAAAACTTATGTAAAACTCGGTGTACGAAGCGGGCACATGCATGTGACATTTATTAACATAGCTAGTTCTTTCCT